GGTATCCTGAAATAAAAAATTATGCAGTTTTAGGTACCCCTTCGCTTTCAGGTCCTTGAGGGTTAGTAGTCAGTTTTGGGATTTAGACAAACCTAGAGTTGGTATTACTCATCATTGGTCCCCTGTATCCATTTAACACGCGATATGTAAAAGGGATTTTTGCAAAAGTTTTGTCTTTGTATTGTCTTTGAAAGTAGGTTTCGGGTGGATTGCGATACACCTTATATTAGAATAGTTAGTATGTTTGTGTCTATGAATCTTTTCGAATTCTACTTTCGACAAAGGTTCGAGAAACACAAACCAGTCTTCTTTAGAAGGTCCACTCCTTCCGTCGCCTTTCATCGGTCTTCTAAGTGGCCTCTTAGGCTTAGCGTATCCGTTTCGTTCATTTTTCCGACCTCCGTGTGAATAACCTTTGCGTTGATTCACAGAATGAACTTGCCTCTGATTAACATTCGGGTTTACCTTCAATCGGTTGTTTCTCGTAGGCTGACCCTTGTTGTAATTAGATCCATTCCTTTTGACATTGTTGCCATGTCTAGGATTGCCTTTCGGAAAATTCCCATTTGTTGGTTCCACAACACATTGGACAACCTTTCCTTTAGAATGGCTTGTTGTTTGTGGTGTTTTTCCCTTGTCAATCTGATTCATCGGCTCGGGTATCTGGGTTGGTCCTTGAACGAACACAGATTTTAGACCTCCACTAGAAGAAGGATCAATGGGTTTGTTCAATAGGATTTGTGATGGGGAGCTTGGGCCATAGCTAATTCCGATTTTTTCCCTTGGTGGTCTTGATGCATTCACCATTTGATCTATCATCTTTGATGAATTGGTAAATGATGCAACGACCCCACGCAAATTTTGCTCCCTTAACTCTCTTTCTATGCACTGCTCCATAAGAAGAAGAACTTGCTTTTCGAGTCGATCATTGGTGATGGCTAGCTCTATGTTTTTAATTCTAACACGTCTGAGCTCATCATAACTCATCATAAGTCGGGGGTTCTCTTCTTTCAGTTTGGAGTATCTGTTTTTTACAACTTTAAAGTCCCTCATCATTTTGATAACTGATTCATTGGAACTTACTTCACTATCAGAACTAGACTCTATTTAAGTAGACGAGAAGGTTTGAGAGTTTACCTCATCATCATTGGCCATCAGGCATAGGCTGTTTTCATCTTCCTCTCGGCTAAACAGACACATAAGTCCTTTTTCACCCTCTGAGCTTTCGCTATCCGAGATAGAGCTTGATGTACTTGCTTCGGTTTCAGACCTTCACTTGGTCCATTTACGACCATTGCCTTTCTTCTTCTCTCGTGTCGTGACAAATTGGACTCATGTCTTGTGTTGCCTCTTTTTGATTCGGTTGCATCTTTCCTTTCGGTTAGAGAGCTCGTGCTAGGCTCTTGGTCCTGATATTTGTGGACTATCGGATGGGGACAATTAGCCTTGAAATGCCCCAGCTTTCTATAGTTGTAGCATAACGCTTGAGCTTCCTCCAACTCCATTTTCTTGGGATGAGATGATCTTTCTGCTTGCCTTCGGTTTGAGGAACTTGGAAAGGTTTGCAGCTCTTGAAAGTTGTTCTTCCTTATGAACCTTTTGAACTTTCGTACAAACAAAGCAAATTGTTCGTCAGATAAAAAATCAGATGGGTTAGAGTTTGACCTGCTTGAAGTCGAAGGTTGCTGACTAGCTGCAAAAGCGATGTTTCTTGTTTCTGGTTCCTCAGTTTCCTTGGGTTCGTGTACGAATTCATAGGCTTTGAGATCATTGAAGATTTTTGTTGTTGGAGTAGTTTTCAGATCTTGGTGATCTCTCATTGCAGTGACTTTCATGTCCCAAGCTTTTGGTAGACCACGAAGAACCTTCTGGTTGATCTCCTTCAAGGTTGGTTCCTTTCCAAGATTTGAGATCTCTGCAAGAATTTTTGTGCACCTATGCTCCATTTCGGTGACTGTTTCATTTGGATGCATTTTGAAGTCTTCTAATCTTTTTCTTTTGCTATCCTTTTCTTGTTCATCACCTTTACCTAGATCCATGAGGGTATCCCATATTTCTTTTGCTATTTTGCATTTTCGCACTCTTGGAAACATCGAATCATCAAGAGACTTGTATAGGATATCACGTGCAACATTATCAAGGTTAGCTCTTGTTTTCTCCTCTGAGGTGAGTTGAGACTTAGGCTTTGGAATCAACAATGTGGGATCCGCTCCTTGAGCTACTGCTTGCATGTTGACCATTTTTATCACGATAGGTCCATTTTCTATGACATCCCACATCTCATCGTGAATAGTCGAAAGGTGTGCCTGAATTCTTACTTTCCAATCATCGAACTTAGACAGGTTGAAAGCAAGAGGTCTAGATCTATTACCATGATCCTTTTCCAGTTTTATGAAAAATGTGCAAAGAGAAAATTGAGAGTTTTTTAAGAGTTTTTGAAAATGGATCTACCAGGCAGTAAAAGCGAAACGTTTACCGTTCAAGGTAACCGCTCTGATACCACTTGTTGGTCCCGGTAGGGTCGAAAGAGAGTCTAGAGGGGAGGGGGTGGGTGAATAGACTCTAATCCAATTTTTGAAAATAACTTTCGGGTAGAGATGCACAGCGGAAAAAGTGAGTTTGTTTTATAGTATTCTTTGCACGTTTTTGATATGAAAATTAGGGTTTGGTCAATATATATGCAATGCAACGAAGATAAATAACCGAAAGTAAAGAGAGAGTAAGAGAGAGGTTTTTATAGTGGTTCAGCCATTAACGAAGCCTACTCCACTCTTCTTCCACAACTTGTGCAATGGTTTGCACTATCACTCCTAGTACAAACTAAACAAGCTAGCTTCCTTGATCACTAAGCCGGACAGCTACTTGTGCAGGTTTTCCAACTCCTCGAGTTTACTCCGCCTCTATCAACATCTTCTTCAGAGTTGAGGGTTGGAAGGAAATGATGAAGTTCTCCACTTGTGAAATCTTGACTTGATGATGCTTGAATCTTCAAATATGAGATGCAAGATTTCATTGTGTTGTGAAAGCTTGAAGTCTAGATGATCTCTTAAAAAGAAACTTCACAACAACACACTGGTTTTGAAAGCTTTTTGGATGACACTTGTTAACAAAGCTTTTGTAGATGAAAATTGAGTGAAAAACCAGCACCTTCTTCAGTGGTGAAGATGGGTATTTATAGGAGAGGAAGATCCATCCGTTAGAGGGAGATGGAAAATTCAAACCTATTAACCAGTGTGTAATATCCACTGGGCTCAGAGCATTTAATGTGGTTGTACTCCTAGTTAATTTGGTATCATCAAAATCTAAATACACTTGTTCCTAACAGTCCTCACACATGCATGTTACCACTAAATCAATCTTTATGGTAAATTAGTAGGTAGCCGCTCTTCGCCGACCATCAAAACCAAGCACAGCTTAAAAACTCTCTCCATTGATATCCTTTCACTTATTATGCATACTCTCCTTCATTTCCTTTTTGTTGTGTCTATCCTAAAGGGTTGTCTTTATTTGTAGACATGGAGATGGTGGGTCACACTTGTGTGAGACCGTCTTAGATATTTTTATCCGTGAGATAGGTCGAGTTAATATAGAAATATAATACTTGTATTGAAAAATGTAATACTAATGAGGAATAAAGCAGAGTGTTTGTTATTTATAAGGGGAAGTGTAATATTTTGAAGAAAATGTAATATTTTTATATTTTGATGTAAAAGTATTACATTTTTTCATAAAAAATTATTACACTTTTCCTTTTAAGTAATATTGACAAGTGTTTATTACTTATAAGAAAACATTTAATACTTATGAGAAAAAATGTACTAGTAGTACTTTTAAATCAAAATGTAAAAAAAAATAATTTATTCCTGATTAGTATTATATGTTTTCATTATAAATATTACATTTTCATACTCCACTCATGTATATATTTTTTTTCCCGTAGATGGTAGGGCTTGGACTAATTCAGATCATAACGACAAACTATATTTTTTAAGGAAAACGTATGCTAGCTTCTACTTTTACCAAATCTAATGCGGAAAATTATATTTATATTTCTAAATTAGGTTTAATTCAAAATGACAAACTAATTTCTTTGAGGAAAATTTTTAACTCTGGGGTGATGAAGGGATCCGTAATCACTATCCGATAGTGTGCACGATGTATGCGACCTTAGTTGGCAAAAGACTCTAAAACCGTAAACCATCCAACCTAGGTTGTTCATAGCTGATCGACTCTAACTAAAAATGTCAAAAGACCGTGCTCCCGTTGGCCGTCAAAATACCAAATGTGATACCGAAATAAAGTTATGTTTGTATTTCAAAATTAGTTATTTTTTTAAAGGGTCCATTATTATGGTTGAATACAGATTTTTATCCATGTTATTTTACCCAATCGATTTCAAGTTAATTCTCTTCTAGATGGTGGTTGAAAATAGAATTTTATTCTAGATAATGATGAATCTTGACATTGACTTCAAGACCTGAAACTTCAATGCTTGGGTGGTGTGCATTCATTGCATATTTATCAATTATCATATCTTAGCTGGAAATTTTGACTAATTATGCAACAAATTTCCATCAACTCAGTGCTTGCGTTGCTAATTTGCTATCTTTGAAGGAATTTTTTAATTTTTTAATTTTTTAATTTTTTTTTTGCTATTTTTTCATATGAAAGTTAGTAACTCAGATCAGCAAGTCGCTCACTATTTTTTTTTGTGCTTTTAATAATCCATGTTTCATAGCTTGGTCGGACTATATCTTAGACCACATTAACGCGCCCCTAGACCCATAAAGAGGTAAACCGAACAAGTCTAACTTCGAAACTAAACACCGAACTGCACACTTTTGCACACAAAGGGCTCATTCTAAATCCAAACTCTCAATTACTGTACGTAGCAGGCCAGAATCGTAACAAAAATGCAAGTCTAACTTATTGATCTTTCTGTTCTTGTAACTTTCTTTATCTAATCCTTAGCTTATGCATCAGAATGAAAAAAATGGTAATCGTCACAAAAGCTCAGACTTTTATTCTAGCATAATACGGGGTTATTTCTCATTGCCTTTTATTATTGTATATATTACAATACGGGATTACTTTTTGATACAAATCGTCACAAAAAGCTCATCCAGGCCACTTTTATTCTACAACACAACATAGTTGTTAATGGCATGAGAATATTGGAGTGGTTTTAATTAACAGGCGACGAATTGGTAGTCAACCATGAGGTGCCCCTTAGCGTATCCCTGCTTGTTTTTATCCAAACGATTAAACACGTTCACGTCCAAATCCAGCCCTCCGTTGGCACATTGATCAACGATCCTCACCGTTTCTTGGGCTCCGCCATCCCTATTTTTAACCTGTGCATATTAATATGAGAAATATAAGGAACTTTCAATTTTGTTTCATATATATATATATATATATATATATATATATATATATATATATATATATATATATAGTGTATGTCAAATATAATGGTAAAAAATAGAAAGTGAATTAAGCAAGGGAATGTATATATACCACAAAATCAATGCTTTAGGGTGTGTTTGGAAATCCAAAAAATGATTTCTGAAAATTATTTTTCAGATTTCTTGTGTTTGGGAGATGGTGGAAAATTGAAGTGAACAGAAAATGATTTCCAGTCGAAGAGAAAATAGTTGGATTTTTCTGAAAAATAGCTTGGTTTAGTTCATAAGTATCAGGAATTAAAATTTTGACCTTTATTTAGTCACAGAAATTCTGTTTTCATCATTAAAAAAAAATATTAGGGGCCAAAAATTATAACTTCCACAAATAACTATTTTGATAATCTAAATGACAAAAATAATCAGTTTTATGACTACTTAAAAGAAAAAATTGCAACTCATGATAATTATAAATTGAATTTAAATTCGATTTATAACTTAAAAACAAAAAATATAATTATTCTTTTGAAAAAATGAAAAAATTGCATTTTTCATCCATAAGTTATAGTGTAATTGTAAAATTCATTCCTAATTGTCGGTCGTGCTCACTTTTCATCCTTAAGCTATCATTAACGTTGCGAGCACTTTTCATCCTTTTACTAACAAAAAAATTAGGGACGAAATTTGCAACGTTAGTATAGCTTAGCTAGGAACAAAAAGTGAGTACAAAAAGTTAATAAAAGGACGAAAAATGCAACCAGTGATAGCTTAGAGGCGAAAATGAGCACGACCAATGATTAGAAAAGAATTCTACAATTATCCTATAACTTAGGAACGGAAAGTGTGATTTTCCCTAACAAGTAGAAGATGAGAAAGATAGCTGAATATATACCCACCCTTAGACACTTGCCACAAGATGGCTGGCCATGAGCTCCCACGGGGCCACAAAAAGCAGTCCACCCATACTTCTTTCGCCACTCCAGCGGCTTGCTTGCATCCCAGGTGGCGCAGTAAGCACTCGCCGCCGTCAAATCCCAGTTGATATTCTGAGGATTATACAGATGATATGTAGCCCTCACGTTGGAAGCGCTCTGCGCCGCAGCGGAGACCACCACAGAGACCAGCAAAACCAAGCACAGCTTAACAACTCTCTCCATTGATAACCTTTCACTTGTTATATGTCTATTCTCCTTTGTTTTTCTTTTCGTTGTGTCTATCCTAAATGGCTTTCTCTATTTATAGACACGTAGGGTATGGACTAATTCAAAACGACAAACTAATTAATTAATGTCCTTTAAGGCAAATGCATGCTAGCTTCTTCCATCTTCCCCGAAAAGGTTGAATCTTCAACACCAAAGGCTATACATTCTGGCCGAACATTTGAGATGATAAAAATTATGATGACTCAATGACTCAGCAGACAAGGTCAAATGCGGGTGTACACAATAGATCTGTCAACTTTGGACATAATTCTCACCAAATGCATGCTAGCTACTATTTTTACCAAATGTGATACGGAAAATTATATTTATATTTCTAAAATAGGTTTAATTCAAAGACGAACTAATTAATTTCTTTAAGAAAATGCTACCTTTTAGTTTTACCAAATATAATACGGAAAGTTATGTTGCCTCAGGGCAATGATGTTAATAGATGAAAAAGTCTCACTACAAACTTGCTTCCTACCACCAATATTGGAAGTTTAGGTTTAGGTTGTGCTCTTTGCATAGAATTGTACAATTTAATGTTGAACCTTCAAATTAAATTAACTCAATTTATCTACTGATCATGAAGGCAAATTATTGTGTGGACCATGGTTCATATAGCTATGTGCACCACGGTCCAAAACGATGTCGTTCAATTTTATGAGTTAGAATACTGTACATTATGAGTTAGAATAATGTACTTTTTGTGCTATAATAATGTATATTATTGTGTTAGAATATAATAATGTACATTATGTGTTATAATAATGTACATTATGTATTATAATAATGAAATTTTTAGGTTAAGATAATGTACTTATGAGTTAGAATAATGTACAGTATGCTTTGAAATAATGTACATTATGAGTCATAAAAATGGATATTGTAGTGGGTCGCGTAAAAAAAATTATGTGAAACGATGTCGTTTTTGGACTGTAGCTGTGTGGACCACGTTCCACGCAATAACTATTGCCTCATGAACCTGTGGTCTAATTAATGGGATTCAAAATATAGTCAAGCGAAGCTCAGAAACCCGGGTTATTAAATTAAAGAACATACAAAAACTTGTGTTCAAATTTCAAAATTAATTGTTGTTTTTAAAAGTGTCAATTAGTACAGTTTATTATATTAGATACAATCATGCATTGTATGTTTGATTACACTGGGTAGTATTAAAATATCGTCAGTATACCAAGAATATATATAACAAGACACTGATGTCCGTTTGCAATATAGATTATAATTTGATCCAGGTTATTTAATATTGTGTGTATAACACCTTTACTTTTTTGGTCCACAAATTTTGTATGAAGTTGCATTTTTCTCCTTGTATGAAGTCCACAAATTTTACGTTTGTCTAAAGATTCGAACACTTATGTCAACCTTATCTCTTGCAACAATTATAACAAAATTTTTGAAACTTAAAAGTTAATGCCAAAATTTATGTTTTGTGACAAATATATTAGTTACATAAAAAAAAATGAGCAAACAAACATGATCTAACTTGACCATATTTAGTTTGAATTGGCTATTAGTTAACAATTTTTTTTTTTTTTAAATTTACATCATATAAAACACTACTGGAAATTATGGAATTTCCGACCACCTGAAAGTGATCTTAAATCAAGTCAAAAGCCTTGTTCCGACCACTTTTGGTATCCGGAAAAACCTTTGTTGCTATTTCCGACCACTTTTTGGTATCAACTTGATTTAAAATCACTTTCAGGTGGTCGGAAATTTCATAATTTCCAGTAGTGAAATAAAGTCTAAATAGAATCCAAATTTTAAAAAGCATTCATTAAAAAAAAAAAAAAAAAAAAAAAAAAAAAAAAAAAAAAAAAACCTTTGATAACCACAGAGTGTTAATTTGGTAACCACAAAGTTTCAAGTTCGACTCTTAGTGGGAGCGGCCTATTGACTTTTATAGCTTGAGAGATCAGTAATGGGTAACCTTGACTGATTTACCTCTTTATAGTCGTTTACCAGTTAAGATCACAAGACGAGATCTAATATACATTTTCAAGTTGTAGTTATGGTTTTTCTTCGTCATCTAAAAAGACAAGTTTTTAGACTCAGCCTCTACGTGTTAGAGTTACGCAGTTACCTGCGTTAATTGCGACTCTATTAAATATTCAGGATGACCGTAAATAATATTCAAATAAAAATACTGTCCTTTTATCTCAATGAATCATGGATGCTTTTGCTGGGAAATACCCCTGATCAATATAATTTGAGATTTTGACACTTTTTTATATTTTATAATAACTGATGCATTGTTTATGTTTTTTTATTCACCAATTGGCTTATAGCTTAGTGGTAGAACATTTTATTGTAAATTGAGAAGACACCAGTTCAAACTTGGTTGGGCCCTTGATTAGCATGTTTGTTTCAATGGGGTAACCCCAGTTGAGCGTTTGAGATTATCCGTTTTGATTGTAGAAAAACTTGAATCTACCAACTCAGGATTATAGCTCAGTGTAAAGCATTCGATTGCAGATCGAGAGGTCACCATTCAAACTTGGTTGGGCCCTTGATCAACATTTTTGTTTCAATTGGGTAACTCGATTCAAACCTAGTTGGGCCCTTGAGTAGCATTTTTGTTTCAATTGGATAACTCGGTTGAACGTTTGAGATTATCCATTTTGATTGTATAATGAATGAAAACATAAGTTACATTACTCTAAAACCTTGGAAGCGTTCTGTGCCGCCGCGGAAACCACCATAGAGACCAGCAAAACCAAGCACAACTTCACAACTCCCTCCATTGATTATGCACAGTTTGTGCTCCATCATCCGGAAGGAGCTTTGTTAATAAGGACAAAAGGAGGAAAATATGAAAAGACTATGTCTTGTTTGCGAACAAATTATGATCATGAACATGCATACGTGTTTGTTTATTTAGCGTTCATGAGCGTGTTCTCAAACGTTAACAAACATGTTCGTAACGTGTTCGTGAATGTTAACGAACACGTTCGTGAACGTTAACAAACACTAATGAACTCTTAAAAACGAACACGAACAAGATTTTTAAAAACCTTAACAAACAAATACAAACATGAATACTCCAAAAATCTTAACAAATGAACACGAACAACCTCTGTTCGTTTGTGTTCAGATCATTAACATCCCTATAATTATATTTATATTTATATTTCTAAATTAGGTTTAACTCAAAAAGACAAACTAATATCTTTAAGAAAATGTTACCTTTTAGTTTTACCAAATGTAATACGGAATGTTATGTTGCCTTAGGGCATTGATGTGAATCCGGAGAATCGGAAGGCTCAGGGAACTTGTTTCAAAAGTTGTCTAAATAATTGTGTGTTACGTGTGCGAAATCATTTTTAAAATAAAGCATGATCTCCTATTTTCTTATGTGAAAGTAAAATGTGAATATTATCTATTTTATGATGAAGTAGAATGTGAGGAGTATTATATTATTATGGGGTTATGCATGATTTGTATATCTCATTGTTGTAATTATTGAGATTGTGGATGAATGGTTTAAAAGCTTGATATTTGAAGGGATGCAATTTGACGATTTGTGCGGAGCAACTGAGCCTCGGCAGTGGAGATGGAGGATTGAAGAGAGAGAGAGACATCCTTCATGGTAGCAATATGTGACATGACAAAGACCGCTTGTTGCCGAAGAACAACCAAGGCCAATGAGGAGCCAAGAGTAGAATCAGCCGATGGAGATCCTGAGTTTGGAACAGGAGAAGCAGTTGGAGCCGATGCAGGTGGATCTGAGTTGAGAGTGGCCCGATCATCGTAGTGAGATTTCTGGAAGAGATGGGAGTCCATAGAACTTTTGTGAGAAATATGACAGAGTACTTCATTGGAATACAATTGTAAGCCCTGCTGTTGTAAGATCCCCGTGATCAGACATGGAAAAGGGAACCCATTATGTGATGATAAATGAGATGACCTAGATCAATGGGCAGTTGATGGCGAACTATGTAGAGAAGAGATGCCATTTTCTTGGTCACCGTGTGCATAGAGACATTTGGAAGCCAGTTGCTTGAAGCTAATCGAAAGCGGACGAAGTAAACAGTGGTGAGCTCATTCGACGGAAGGCTATTTTTAGGCTAGACATCAATTTCGTTGTGAGTAAGATGAGCGGCAAGAAAATCACCCGCAGGTTCAAACAAATCATCACAAGCAGTACGCTGAAAATAATCATTTATAATTGAAGGACTGAAATCATACCAAACATCCCTCATGAAGACCTGATGATAATGGGGAGAGGCCAGCAGAAGAGAGCTAGATTGGAGATTTGCATAGAATTCCGGAATGAGCGAAGCAGAATAAGCACCCACATTCTGAATAGTTTGAAGCAAGTTTTGAGCATGTAGGAGAGGAATGGCATTGCAGCTGTGAATGAGGTATTCAGTACTGAAGTTCTTTTCAACAAGAATGTCATGGCTAGAGTGCTGCTTCCATAAGACTTCCAGAGCTGGAGAAAGAAGAATCGGTCTGAAAGACTGCTCCTTAGCAACCTTAGAAGGCTTGGACTTAGAAGAAGCGGCTGGCTTGGAGGCTGGAGCAGAAACTGGAGGAAGAGCTGGACTAGAGAAGCCAGTCCTAGACCTGGTACGCAGAGCAAGACCAGACAACTTATGTTCTGTGCATTTGCTCGGGCGAGTCTCAGATGCAAATTCAACATCTTCGGACAAATTGAGCTTCCTCTTAACAGTCGGAGCAGAGATAGGGGCAATTGGAGGATCATCTACATCAGTGACTTTGGCCTTCCCTTTTGCCTTAGAGGATGCAAACGGCACAGCTTTGACCGATACACACTTTGGAATTTGAGCAATATTGGGAAGATTGGCGACTATATCAGACATAATAGCTGCTTGAATAGAAGGATCCTCAGGTTCAGATACAATTTCATGGATTGATACCCCAACATCCCCTGGAGTAGAGTCTAGAGTAGAGGTATGATGTTTGTGCGAAGAGCGATGCTCAGGCATCGTGGGGACGGCCTCCTCTGAGCGATGTGGCAGAGAACCTGTGAAAGCAA